TTTGTACATTACATAATCACTTAATAAAGTCAATTAGATCTCTAAACTTATGTATCCCTGAGTGGGGGATGGGGACATACTGCTATTTTTTATACTCAAAAACAGACAAAAGAGAACAGACCCTATCTTCATATTCTTTTCATTAATTTGGAGAGACCTTGTAGACTTGTGGTGCCAAGAAAGTTGACATTGATAGCTATGTTCCAGGCCCCCTGCTGTAGCACCTCTTGAAAAGTGTCAGAATTCAGACCTTTAGGTTATTGGGAGTCTATTGCACTATTCTTCCCTGAAGCAAACTCATTCACTAAAGGAGCTTTTTTATATAGTATCTATAGAGCTATCATTACAGGCATTTCCAGGTTAGTACACCAAATGCTGCACCACTGAGACTTATCAGAGGTTCATTTTTGATAAGTCCATTTCAAAACCCACAAGGTTTTATACCCTAATCCCTCTATGGGTCCCAGAACATTCCCAGGAAACCTGAGAGGATCCAGGCTGACCTAGAACCCCAGGAATAGTGGTTTCAACCTGAGCTGCATGTTAGAATCATTGGAGTTTTAACTGATAACTGGGTCTTCCCCACCTTCACAGATTGTGGTTTGAGCGGGTTAATTGAGATATGTTTTCTCTAGTCGTATTGTGATTCCTTTAGTACAGTCCACTGTGGCAGCAAGTCAGAATTATCTGGGGAATTTTCAAAATTCCTGGCATCAACATTTTCTAAAATTCCCCATCTGATTACAACATTTAGCCAAGGCTGAGAAATAGGTAAATCTAGAAAAGGAGACCCCCTTTCATAGATTTACAAACAAACTTTTTGCATCTTTGCCATTTCATGTAAGTCTCTGAATGCTCTAAAACTATAGTTTAAAGAGGTATAATAAAACTGAGTCAAAAATCATGATCAGAGGCTCCAGATTAATATAAAAGTAATGTAAAAATGAGAAATATATTACAAAAAAAATACTGTATCTGTGGCAATGAACTTTTATTAACACTTAAGTACCCAACACATGTGTTAGCCAAAAAAAGAAGAAAATAGTCCTTAATATTAGTTTTCAAGGAATAGCTGTTATTTCCAAATCGTTCCCCAGCAGTTTACCCATTTTTCATAATTTAAAGTTTTGAAAATGTAAGTGAATGGTGACGTAAGGGTCAACAATTCTGCAAGATTCCTTTTTATCAGTAATTCTAGTTTTGATTTTATTCCTTAGGATCTGTTCTTCATTGTGTACTTTTTTAAGTTGGTTTGTTCTGGTTTTCTTATTTTTAACTGCAGTAATGTAAATTATTGTTTTTCCTAGCTATCTTGCTCAGAACTATTTAGAGCAGAATACAAGTTTACCATCTTTTACTTTTAATTTCTAATGGTGATCCTTTTATTGTATGCCAAAATTAAAATACAGGGGCTCTGAAACTGATGCATCAATTTGAATTCATATTAAACATCTTAACCAATATAAATGACTGATTGCCGGTTCCATTTACTGCTACCATCTCCATTTTAGAGCTAACCATTAGCAGAGATTATTGTTGAATAGGAGCTTATCCAAAGAATTGTTTACAATTGAGTTGCTGAAGATTTTGTGGCCAAAGTCAAATCCAACAACACTGTGTTTATTTGCTTTTTGCCAATTGTTAAGCCATATCCCGTCACAGTCTAACAATCCAAAGAGAATATTGCTAAATCGTTGGCCAATTTTCAGAATGGCTAACCCTTTCTTGCTATGGAATTTACAATGCTTAATTGTAACTAGTGAGGTATACTTTTTCTTGAATCAGTGATTTATGACATTCAGGATTTCTTCTTGAAAGAAATGGGTGATAGTGATTGTTGTTAGGAAGAGCAAACTGTTTAGTAATTGGATACCAAAAACAAGAAAAACCTCCTGAGGGACTAGGTTCTCTGTTCCACATTTGTCTCTTAGGGCGGTTGTCTGTTGCCCAGCACACTGCTGCCATCTCTCAATCGGCACCTCAATTCCCAGCTTAAATAGCAGTGTTATTTCTGTCAGGTGTAGAGTGATTGGCTCTGTCTGCTAATGGACTGACTGATCCAACAATTATCTAAATTCACCCTTTGGCCATGTCCCCAGGGAGAATTCTAACCACAGTAGTGGAAGTATCCAGTAGTAGAAGGTCTTGGGCCCCCATTCCCTGCCCCTTTGTGATGTTATTAATGTTCTTCTACAGAGGACATGAATATTTCATTTGGGGAGGACTATTTTATGCTTTCACTCTTATTGTTAATTCGATTTAGGTTCCAGTTTCATGGTTTAGAAACCCACTGTAAGACTACACATGGAGAATAAGTTGAAAAGAAGCCTCCTGAACAAGAATAGTGTGCCCAGGCCCAGTTCTATAATAATGGTTTCTCTCTCCTCAAGAGTCAGGAGTGTGGCCCAATATCTTTTGGCCTCTGATAAATTTCAACATTTACATGGGTCTTGATTATATATCAACTAATAAAAGTATTTTTTCTGTTGGGTTCCTGGGTGTGTTTTTCTGCAATTTATTTATTCATGCTAAACTTAAAATATTCCTCAAGACAATACTATAGTTAGGGTAAAACTGAAGCCAAATCTCCACAACCCTTGGTAACTTAAGTAATTATTTTAATTCCCTAAAGAACTGTAATAGGAGCTCTTATATCCACCTGCCTACCTTTTCTTCAAGCCTTCCATCTATCTACCCCAACCTGATGCTTTCTAGAGGCATAATTATCTACCCAGACTTTGTACCTCCTCACGCCAGCTCTTTATCTTAACTATTTGTTTTAGATCGCATTCCTATAAAGGAGCTATGCTTTTCCTGGTGAGGCAAGCAGTCCTTCAAAATCCACTAGAACTTTGAGATCACTTTGCCTTACTTACATTCAAGGCATGAGGGATGGACTGGGAACTTCCTTATGGTAACTGAGAGAAAAAAATATATTCAACATGACTGACATATAACTTTTCACCCACAGTTTCATCCTGTCAGATATTAAAATCGCAAAAGACCACCAAAGAATGATGTTTAACAACCTGTTCATCAATTGAAGGCCTTAGAACATTAAAATGAAATTCAGAGTTTGATTCTGAACTTTCCCACTTTGTGAACTCTGCTGTATTTCAAACTAGCAGACAATCCAGTTACTCACATGTTAATGAAAACAGGAATCATCTTTTATTCATTTTTGAATTCAGCTAGTGATGGAGGAATGTAAACAGTTTTGTAATTTTCAAATTTTCAATTTTAAGTTTTGTTTCTTTTGCTCTTTAAACAAATTATGTTGAGTTCTTTCTTTGTACCTAGATTTCTTTACTCTAATAGAATGTCTTAAATTTCATATATGTCATCTTGCTTGTCTGGATTTTGCATATATATTTTTTTACTTTTTCATTAATAGCTAAAAGCATTCAAAAAGGGATTAGCAGCAAATAGAATTTGACAATGCTTAGGTTCGATAACCTTATTACTACAATTTGAAATCATTAAGATAATGTTCACTTTCTTATCATTCAGTGTATGTGGTAATTGTACTTAGGCTTGTTTACAACTTTGTTATATATTCTATGGTTTAGAATGGGATAGGTTATAGGAACTAAAGATGCCTGAGAGATAAACTGTACCAATTTCACAGATTTTCCAATTTTACCAGTTAAGAACTGGTAAGCGAAGAAATTGTTCCAAAGTCATTCACTGATAAGGATGGCACCTATGTGTCCTATCATTCACCTAGACACCTGCTTCTGTCTTCTCTACCAGGTACCACATTCATGATAGATTGCATAACTTTTCAATAAATTGATTATAAGCAAATTCTGTTGCTTACATAGAAGTGGCTATCCACAGAACTTTTCTCCAAATAATTATTTCTTTAGCTAACCTTTGGTATAATAAGAATATACTATAGCTAACATGATAACTTTTATTAATATATAGCTAACATGATAACTTTTATTAATATAATAAAAACTAAACCACAACTTAATAAGTCATTTGATTTTGACATTCCATATTTGTATTGCCTTAAAAAAAAACCCTCTTATTGTCATGTTGGAAACATAATTTCCCAAGTTCCCATTTATTGGTTCATTAAGTTAGTGTGAACTATCGATTAAACAGTCAACAGAAGCTTTAAGTACTCATTGATGCCATGGCACTGTACTAGGCAAATGTTTACACTTTCATCCCTGTACATTCTCTTTCAATTGACTGTATCACATATAATTTATGAAATGGAGTAGTACTAACATTGTTCAACTGCCAGTAGCACAAACAAAATTTATTTTCACTTAGGTATTTAAAGTTTTATCAAACTGCCAAATGATAAATCCAGCACTGATTTTTCAACATGAAAAGAATAACTGGTTGTTGGGGGACACAGAGGGCTTATTAATTGAAAACCATGGAGTTAACATCTTTTCCAACTCACTTTGGTTTCCTCTCTTAAGGTAACAGACTTGTTAGTCTATGGAAGATTTAGGTAAATAAAGTGGTAGGAGGAATCTGTTTTTCTGTATAAGTAAATAATTCAACATTCTAATACAAATACATTATGATATGAATAGATGAGGAAACCATAGATTGCCTTCTACTTTATAACTATATATAATTGCACAAGTTATTGAATGTTTTTGAAGACACATTTTTACATCACTGAAATATCCTTTCAAGTGAAATACAATTGTTCAAAAAAATTCTTCAAACCAGTGATAAGAAGTTTTTACTGATTGTTTACGGAGTACCATGTTAGAGCTCCTAATGCTCCTAATGAGAAAGGCTAAATCACATTTCAGTGTAAATACACTTATATAATGCTTGACTTTTTAACATTTTCAGATTTGCTCTTTTTTAGGAAAATTTAGGATATTTTTAGGAAAATAGTTCAACTGTCCCAAATTAAAGAAATTAGGTGGTATTTATTGCTTTTCAAGAAAAGGAAAATAACTACAGCTCCTTGTATAGATTAAGATTTATAAATAACACTATAAATAAAAGACATTACTTACTGTAATTGTTCTTCATCTCTTGGGTCCCTCTGACTTTGCCTCGTTTATCAATCCTCAGATACCACTGTGTTCGACAGAAGAGTCTTCTCACTCTTATATCCCCTCCTTCCATGTAATCATAACTTCTTGTATGTCGCTCAGGGCTGGAACAGTTCACATTTGTAGCCATTTGCTCTGGAGTCATGTCATTGCAAGCTAAAGATATAGTGCCCACTAGACAGATAATGTGAAAGCATGATCTGTAGAGCAAAGTTGGCAGGATCCATGTCAGTATCCATTTGCGCATTATAGTGTAGTGCTCCAGGTGTTCATGAATAACATAATGAAAATTAAATCTTGAGTTGATTGTCGCTTCTAGGTCATTGACCTTTTCCTATCTGTGAATTGTAGATTGATTTAAAAGAGTAGTTGATCTTTCCAGATTGTTAGTCTTATCTTTTAGTTGCTGATATCACTACAGGATTCCTCCTTAAATAACTCTCTGTTGGTATATCCTTATAATAACAGGTTGTAATAAACTCAGTTGCTGCGAGACTGTTTGCTACTAGACTTCTGTTTGCAATGAGAGATTGAGAATGGGGAGGAAGAGAAAGGAAAATGAAAAATTATGTGTATGAATTTTCAGTGGATAAATAGTATTGTAACAAGTAGTATCATTTATATTATGAAGGTACATTTAAAATAGCTTTCACAGCGAATTTCAGCATCTTTACCATGCAGTGTAGATTTATAAAAGTTATGCATTCTTAGATCTTAGATGCAAATCAGACTATGACTGCCATTCATTCCAGTTGCTATTTGTTTAGAAACATCCTGTAATTAAAGCTACTGATTCCATTAAGATCTAAAAGTACTACTAACAAAGCACAACTCCTTCTTCTAGATTTCCTTATTATATGTTTTTATGTTTGTGAAATCATAATTATTTTCTGCTGAACTGCTCACATTTCTCAAGTTAAATGTGAAGATTGCTCTGGAAAACTTCAGCCTTATCTTTATGTAAGTTCTACAGCAGAATTACTATAGATAATTACATGGCTCAGAAAATCTGATAACTTTACTTGCCCCTTCAGTACTACAACCAGAGAAAGACATAAACTACTAGAAAACATTAAACATAATTTTTTTAAAGACAAATAACAGTAACTTACTTGTTCTGTTGATAACAGCTGGATACACAAGAATTCCATGTCTGTTGTCTGCCTTGTGCAACTTGAGCCTCTCTACTGTAGCTACAAACTATTTCTCAGCTGAGAAATTCTCCAGCAGAATCATAATTGTTTCCATAAATCAACAGGCAAGAGGATTTTCTCTGTGTGTGAGTGTGCGCACGCGTGCATGTGTGTGTGTATGTGTGTGTGTGTGCGTGTGCGTGGAGCCTTTTTATTCAGGGCTTTTCGATAAATACCTTTGCTGACCTCATTGGAAGCAATTAAAACTTAACCAGTGAGCTGTTAGTTGAATACAACAGCGAGAGTAAGAGGAGACTTTTGTATAGTATTCATTCAGTGGTCATGAGAGGGAGCTATGAACATGGTTTATTCTTAAATCAACAAGTGGATACCTACTTTGTAGAAACAGATCTTTGATTCTGAAGCAGTTAGAAAAGGAAAGAATTTTTTAGGCTGTCTTTACAATGTAGTGTTGCAAAAATGTTGAAAATTATTCCTTTGAACATATATATATATGTAATGAGTTTTCTGCTAGAAAATCCTTTCTTAACATTATGATACATGCATCTATTATTATCTTTTTATACTTAGGGTATTAGAATAAAACTATTAATGTATATTAACTCAAAAATTAGTGTCTGAAAGCACTATCCATTTGAATTAAGGTATATCTTTTCATTCCTTATGATGAAGAAAGAATTCTTCTATGGAGAAGAATTATGAAATAATTCATCATTGTGTATGATTATAAATTTTATCTCATATTCTTAGACTGAAAGTGAGAAGACCTAGCTTCTTATTTAAGTTGGGAGACTAATTACCAGGATAATCTTGATAAGTCACTTGAGGTTCCTGAATCTCAACTGCTAGATATATTTGTATAATCAGTGTATAAGTCTAAATGCTCTAATAATGCCTTGTAGTTTAAAATTCTGGAACTTGTGACTTTTACAACTGATACATAAGGAAGAGGATAAATTTAAAATTATTTTTTAATTAAAAAAACTACAGTTTCAAAATGCAAATGGTTTTAAGTGACTTTTAATATTTTACCTTTTCCTCAGTATAAACATTAGCATAATAATAATAATTGCTGACTTAGGGAGAAAATTATAAAAGTCACAGCTGTATTAATGTGAATAAAAGAAAGCTGTTTTCATATTCAACCTGAGTTAGTCTCCCTTTTAGCTTCTTGTTCTCATTTATCTATATCTCTAATGCTTTATTAGATGTTTGTTGCAAAATAACTGCCTTGTTAATCTAAGTTAATATTTACAAATGTATATTAAAATTCTCTCCTATTTTAATAGCCCTAACGCACACACACACACACACACACACACACACACATCCACTTGAAATGCACTAATTTACCACCAGGTGGTGCATGTGGACCAACTAGCAAAGGGAATTACCCATTCAATTGGATTAAGTTTATAAGATTTTCCTTTACATGTTTTTTTGGGGGGGGGGGACAAAATCAAGAGCACATACTAGTTTAAACATGACCTGTTACTCTTTAATAATAGTAAATAGTGAATCAAAAGATACTGAGATTTGTAAATTTGTTAACTCAGGTTAGGATAGAGCCTTCTTTAATTTCATTTGTTGAAAACTAGATGGCTACAAAATATTCTTTCATCTATTTCTCTAAAACAAGGGAGAATGTAAGTATGAAGATATTGTGCTCTGATTCATACCCCTAGTTATATGGTAGGTGACAATAATGAGCAGTATTAGAAGTATTAGGACTCAGATCTTCATTCTAAATATATGCAAAAATTAATAGCCAATTCACATTTAAAGTTATTCAACTGCTACTGAATCCTTCTATTACAAACCAACTATACAATTTTAAGTAAATGACCAGTGGAATTTAATTTCCTAATAAAATTCTCATGGCTTAAATATAATGAATGGATTGTTTTTAATTGAATAAAGATTTTGTCTCTTCTTAAAATCTGCTATATCAGGGTAACTAAAATTGGAACCAAAATTAATATATGTATTTTTTATCTATGCACTTGATGGTCATTAGAAATAATTAAACTCTGTGGTTTAAAATCACATTTGAAAAATGATCTAGAAATATTAATGATTAGATTAATTACAGCTAAGGACTATATTTAAATCTTCTCATTATCAGCTTCCTTAATGGAGAATAATTAATTCAAGAGGGGACCACAACCTCACTTTATACCCCTATTAAATTTAACGCTTCTAGAGAGATATTACAGAAGCCAAGAGTAACACTGGGCATCTCTAAATTGGATAACCCTGTTTGTTTATTTCTTTTTAATTGCTTAGTAGTAATAACATTGACAAGCATTTATTGCTCTAGTTTTTTTTTTTAAGATTTATTTATTTATTCATACAGAACTAGGGTATAGGCCAGAGATGCGGAGGGTGAGATTCACCGGGGACAGAGTGGGGAGCAGAACAGACAGATCAAAGAGGTACACTGCTGAGGGAAGCAGTGGGCCGGTCAGGAGAGGCCTGCCATGCCATGTGGATCTCTTCCCATGCAGGCTGGTTTCGAGCTCATTCGGAAGGGGCTTAAGCTTCACAGTGCAGTGCTTGAACCCGCTACGCCACCAGAGAAGGCCCTATTGCTCTAGTTTTAATACATATATAGTGATAGGCTAAGCAAAAGAACACTTCGGAGAAGTGTCTCTTTTGTTATTTCTAGATTGAGTTAACTTCATTTTTAATTGAAACACCTCCATTTGTTGAACTTTAAATTTGTAAAGAAAGGATTCTTTCAGCTATTCCTAGAAGTTGGATTTTAAAAAGCGATTAAAGATTAGCACTCAGGATTCCTCAAAAAGAAACAATTCCTAATACTTGTCTAGTGTGATTTGGGGGTAAAATATATGAAGAGAATATTACAGACTCTGTTTCAGTGAGTATCATGAAAACATAGAAGTTGTTAAAATAATGATGAATCAGCCCTGCCTGGCAGTGCAGCCGGTTAAAGCAAAGCACTAAGAAGCTAAAGCCACTTCAGCGTGAGTTCAAACCTGCCTTGGAGTTGATCCACATGGCGCCGCAGACCTCTCCTGTCCTGCCTGCTGCTCCCCTCAGCAGTGTAACCCGGATGACCTGCCGGTTCTGCTCCCCACTCTGTCTCTGGTGAATCTTCTCACCACTCCTGCACCTCTGGCCCAGCTCTGTATGCATAAATAAATAAATCTTTTTTTAAAAAATGAACCCACGTAGTTGTACTGAAGCAAATTCCATTATGCCCCTGTTTCATAAAGAGAAAAAGACATAATTTTGTTTAATGACTTTTCCATTTGAGTAATAATGTTTTTTAAAGATTTATTTATTTATGCATACAGAACTGGGGTACAGGGCAGAGGTGCAGGGGTGGTGAGAGGATTCATCAGAGACAGAGTGGGGATAAGAGCAGGCCCACTGGCTAAGTACACTGCTGAGGGGAGTGGCAGGTGGGTCAGGAGAGATCTGCAGCGCCATGTGGATCACCTCCCAGGCAGGTGGGGATAGAACTCATGCTGAAGTGACTTTAGCTTCTTAGTGCTGTACTTTAACCCTTTGTGCCATCAGGGAGGGTCCTGAGTAATAAATTTTAAGGCAGTGCCACATGGTAAGTATGTATAACATAATCAATAGAAGAAACCATCATTAAATATTTTCAAAAATTTTTATTCTTCCTTCCTCCTATGTCCCATCCTTCCCCCAAAATATGTCCTTATGCATATATAAGCAAATTATATATATATAATTATATATACACACACATTTTTTTTTTTACTTTTTTTCTTTACAAAAAGGTAGCATACCATGTGCCATTTTCTGCATGTTGCATTTTTACTTAATAAAAATAGAAAATCTTCCCATTTCAGTATTTAGGAAATTTCCCCACCATTTTTTCAACTGCATAATTTTTTAGGTAAGCTTTTCACAATGTATTTGACCAGCCCTCTATTGGTGAACTCGAATTTTGTCCAGTACAAGCACAAAATAATGAGAGTATGAAGTTACAAATGTGTCAGAGTTGTGAAAATATGTTGGTAGAATCAGTTTATAAAAGTGGAGTGCCTGGATCCAATCATTTATATGTTTATCTATATAGGGTTAAGTGTAAAACCAGAAACAAAGTATAATATGAAATTGTGAATAAAGAACTTTATGATTTTTAGATACGATTATGTACAGATATTGTCAACTAACCCTCCATTTGTGTTATTTTACAACTCCACTAGCAGCATATAAGAATACGTTTGTTAATGTAGTGTGTAGTGTACTATAAAGCAAGCTGTTTTGTTAATCTGACAGGTAAAGTGGTATTTCAATGCAATTAACCCTCATGTTTCTTATCTTATGAAAGCATTAACATCATCAAGGACAATTATTTTAATACATTCTCCTATGAGTGTCTACAGTAGATGACAGGAAAGTCTCCCATTTAAATAAAAATGTCAGTAAAAATGCAATTTGAAGGATAAATGGCAGTTAATCAAGGGACAAGTTAGTTGTAAATATACAAAGATCCTATGTTGACATGGACATGTCTTTTTCAGCAACAAAACACCAGTGTCTATCTAGTTGAGATAGGCTGAGAGGGACTGTGGTGTACTGAGAAGCCAGACAGGCAAGAAATCTAGTGGGCAACATTAAGAGTTTGAGCTTTATCCTTAGAGTGGACAGAGTCCCAGTGATATATTAAGTAGAAGAGTCACAGTGATCAGTATTGTATTTCCTGCTTCTATTAGCAGAATGACTTTATGAAATGATAATATTGTATTTGTTTGTCATATTTTTTCTGTTCTTTATGTTTTAGAAAATGTTGCCAAGCTTTGTAATCAGAAATAAAGGGTAAGGAGGAAAAAACACATATAACAATTTAATGGTTTTGGTAAACCTTAAATTCATTTCAAAGGATTGTGCCTTGAAAAAAAAGGAAACATAAAAGTGTCTTTGAGAAGCAGTCTAGGAAGATAGAGTCTGGAATACAGAGAACATAGAGAAAAATAAATTTGAATCACAAGGCTCCTATATATCTTACTCCACTATAGCACAGAGCAGAAGCAGTAAATTTCCAGATAGTAAGAACCACCAATTGTATCTAAGCAAATGGGCCCATAAGCACCACTCATAAAGATTTCCCCTTTTTTATGAGAAATCTAGAAGCTC